GAGAGAGAGAGAGAGAGAGAGAGAGAGAGAGAGAGAGAGAGAGAGAGATCTTTAGGCCCCTAAAGGACATGCCCTTTTCTCTTTTAGTTCCTGGTCATGAAGTGAGTGGGTTTGATCTAGCACCTGCTCCCACCTTGGTGTGCTCCCTTGACACAGGCCTAAACCAATGGGGTCCAGCCTGTGTTGGCGGTATAGTGGTGAGCATAGCTGCCTTCCAAACTAATAGGGTCCTTTGGGCATGTACTGAAATCTCCAAAACTATGAACCAAAACACTTTTTCCTCTTTATTAGTTTATTTTCTCAGATATTTAGATACAGTAATAGAAAGTTGACTTACATAGACTTTCCCTAAATCACTGCAATACAGCCATCACAACCAGGGAATTAACATTAGCATTACTACCATATAATCCTTATACCCTAGTCAAGTTCACTAGTTGTCCAAATATGACTTTTACAGCAAAAGGCACCTGTCAAGAGTCATGTATAACAGGGAACAGTGACACATGCTGGTAGCCCCAGCTACTCAGGAAGTTAATGCAAGAAGATCACAAGTTTAAGGCCAGCTCAGGCAACTTAGCAAGACTGTTTCAAAATAGAAACAAACTTTCCTTTAGTTCAAACTCCAGCACCACACACACACACACACACACACACACACACACACAAATTACATGTTGTATTTAGCTGTCAATTCTCTCTGGTTAAATTGCTTGACCTTTTGAAATTGTTCAGGAAGGGAAAAAGAGAAAGAGCCTAATTATCTATTTATTTGCCTGTGTCCCTCATTGATTTTTTTTAAAATGAATTTAAGACAGAGTCTACAGGGTGTGCAGGGTCCTCACTATGTGGATCAGACCCATAGTGATTCTCCTGTTTTCAGCCTCCCAAGTGCTGTCTCATTGATCTTTTTGCCTCTAATCTTACTTGTGTTTTTCTATAAACAATTGTGGAGTTAGACAATAAACAAATTAACTCTTCTTCACTATTGTATTTCCAACTCCTGGAACAGTGGCTGCACAGAGTACACTCTCAGTAAATATGGAATGAATGAGAAATGGGTCTGAATCATTAATCATTCTAGGAACCCAACACAGGGGAACTCAAAAGCAGAAATGTTGGTTGAAATCAGCTGGCATAGGGTATACATAGAATAGATACTCTGTAAATATGTATTGGTTGGATGGAAATGAATAGTTAAGTCAAAGTTAAAAAGTGACAGAAAAAAAAAACAGTAGTGACTATAAGGAACTTAATGTAGTTGTTGAGATAAATGTTTTGGCCCTTGGTGACATAGAAATATCTTATGTGGCCTTGCTAGTGTCTCCAGCTCTACCAGATTTTCTGAATCAGAATCAGTAGATGATTTTAATATACTTGAAGTTTGAGAAGTTCTGTTTTACCAGATATATTTCTTCTTTAAGGCACATCTTTGCAATCATACAGCTTCTTTGAAAGGCCTCAGGCTGCTTTGTAACTGGGGAAAATAGCAAAGGGCAACATATACCTGTTGAGAGTGAACACTCTCAGAATTATCATAGGCAAGAATTCAAAGTGATAAGAGATTCTATCTGAGAAGGAAGGATGATGATGATGATGTATTTAGGACAGGGTCTACAGGGTCTTGCTACGTAGATCGGACCTTAGTGATCCTCCTGTTTTCAGCCTTCCAAGGACTGGGATTACAGGCGTGCCCCACTACACCCAGTCTCAATCATGGTCTCAATGCACCCCAGGGGCAGGGCTGGCACAGCACAGCAGAGATTGAACCCAGGGCTCTGCCTAAGCAGGTGCTTTAGTCTGCTGAGCTATCTGGCCGGCCCTTATAGAAGGAAGTATTATTGGTGGAGAAGCTGAAAAGCAGATTGTAATATACCCCTGTGTTATTTAATTATTTAAAAATGATTCAAAGCACACACGCGCACACAAATACACACGCACAGAGAAACAGAGAGACAAAGACACATAAATGAGATTGAGCTAATCAAGCAATAACCAAAAATCAAAAATCTACCACAGTCCCTTCTAGATCAGAATCATGGATAATCACAAGAAGAATTTTCCATAATAAATGTTTATTTGTTCAGTTTAGTTTGGAAATTCAGAGACATGGAGTTCTCTCTAAGCATTATTTTTCAGAAAACAAAACGGATTTTTGGTGCGGAAAGCAAAGGTCTCCTTTCCTGTGGTAACATCACCATCTACTGGTATTTGAGGATATTGCTAGTGAAGACTTGAAGGCAAGTCAGATCGGTTTTTTGTGATTCAGCCTATACTCTGAAAACTGCTTCTTCTGCCGCACCTCTTCTCTTTCGTTCTTGTGTTTCTGCCTCGCCTTTTTATTTATTCCTGTGTTTCTGTGTTTTCTCTTGCTCTTCTCTGTCATCTGCTTTCTCCACTTTCACATCACTGATGCAGATTCTGCATGCATGCCTGTGGGCATGAGCAACTATCTCTTCCTGAGGCAGACTTTGCCTGGAACAACCCCTGCTCCCTTGCATGGAGCTGAATCAGCCTTCTGCTGAATCTACAGCTGTAGTCCCCCTCCCCTATAGTTCTAGTCTGGCTTTCCAGGGCCACATAAGACAACACCAGTAACTCAGTTGTAGGTGGGATACCGAGCATGCTTAAGACCCTGGATTCAATTCCCAGAAGCTCCTAAAACAAAGTTTACCCTACTCTAAGATTATAAATTATTGCTCAGTGTTTTTTTCTTTTCCTTTTTAGTTTATTCCAACACACACAAATACACACACACACACACACACACACACACACACCCCACTATATATATAGTTTGTTTTTGCTTTTTGAGACAGGGTCTCAGTCTGTAGTTCAGGCTAGCCTTGAATTCACTATGTAACCCAGACTGGCCTCCATGTTGCAGCAATCCTGCCTCAGTCTTCCATGTACTAAAATTATACATGTGTACCACCATGCTTGACTTGTTCTGACATTTTTAACATTTGACTTGATACTAATTTGTAAGAAATTAAGCTCCTTCCTGCTCAATCGCATTTATGTGGCTTTGTTTCTGTGTGTGTGTGTGTGTGTGTGTGTGTGTGTGTGTGTGTGTTTTGAATCACTTTTAAATCATTAAATAACACAGAGGTATATTACAATATATACCCAATATAACCCAATCTATTTTTTTACCCAAAGGTTTTTTTTTTCCAGTATAGGGATTGAGCTCATGGCTTCCTACATACTAGGCAAGCACTCTACCACTAAGCATTATCCCCAATCCTATTTATTTTACAAACAAAGTCTTGTTAAGTTGCCTAGGCCAGCCTTGAACTTGGATCCTCCTGCCTCAGCCTCATGAGTAGCTGGGATAATAGGCATGCACCTATAATCCCATAATAGATTTTGAAAATTGCTTCCCCAAGTGATTTGAAGTGTCAGTTTTTTCATATACATGGATATATGTGCATTTTAAAATTTTATTTGTGGTGCTAGAGTATACACCCTGGGCCTCAAATGTGTCTAGAGCCATTCTATATAATTTTGGGGGGAAATGATTTCATAGTTAAATTGTGGTTAGGGCTCATTTGAGGATTAGATTTTTTTTTTTTTTGAGA